ATTCTGAAGCAGGGGACTCACAGAATGGATGAGATCTAAAATCCAAGTATAAACTCTGCCCAAATTCCTGGCTGACCACGAAACTACATGTAGAGGGCCTGCTGAAACTGCAGTCAGGAGTCTTTGAAAAACAACTATACTGGTTGAGAGATGTGTTTGCTGCCATTTGATGCATATTACCTGTGCACCTTAGGTAGCAAAAGCTGAAGCCCTGTGGATTTAAGATAACAGAGAACAGAGATTGAACTGGCAGAGCAGCTTGAAATTTAGAAAGAAAAATTGATAAACAAGGGAACTGCAAAGGGAGTAAACCCCAAAATCTGAGCAAAATCACTGGCCAAATCTTTGTCAAATGAAGAACTAAGCAGAAATATAAGCTGCTGCACTCTTCAAGGTTTGAGTCCAAGCACATTTACTTCTTTCTAAATCAAAACCCCAATAATTTTCTGAAGAACATAACAGAATCCAGAGTGTCACTGAATTGTCATTTTTTAACAATGAGTGATGAAGTTTAACCAAAATCTGACAGAACAGAAAAAAGAAATAGATGAAATTATAATTACAGTTGGAAATTTTAACACTTCTCTCTTGTTATATGATATAACAAGTAGAATAAAGAATTGAATGATACTCTCAACCAACTTGTATTAATTGATATTTATAAGACATTTCACTCAACAGCCACAAAATAGACATTTTTTCAAGTATACGAGGAATACTCAGTAAAATAGGCCATATGCTAGGCCATAAAACAAATCTCAATACACTTAAATGGATTGAAATGTTATAGTTATGTTCTCTGACCACAATGTAATTACATTAGAAATCAATAACAAAATCTCAAAATCCCTGAAATTCCCTAAATATTAGCACAAAGCTCAAGGGCATTTTACTGAATTAAGAAAACCAGTCAAAACAGTTACACATTGTGTGATTCCATTTACTTCATATTCTTGAAGAGATAAAACTATAGTGATTTTAGAATATTTTAGTGGTTATTAGGGTTAAGATGTGGTTGCTAGACATGACTGAAAATGGCTGGGGCAAGGACTTGTGGCGGCGGGGAGGTGGGAAGTAGAACTATTCTATATCCTGATCATGGTATTCCTTACATAGATCCGTACATTTGTTGAAACTCAGAAATGTATACCCACCCCCCAAGAAAAGGCAATTTTACTTATGTTAATTTTAACACACCTGGTTGTGGGATTGGCCTTCGCATGCATCCAGCTTCAGATTTCAAAGGATGACAGGTCTTGGATTTTCATTGTTTCTTTTCTGTCTCTTTACAGTTTTTGCTACATTCTTTAGGTTTCATATGGTATCCCTTGGCAGCTTCAGGCTCATCACCATACCAGATCTAGCATAAGAGAGAAAAGGAACACACTTAACTGATAGCTCAAACAGAAGTCTCAGAATTAAGTTTTGCTGGCCTTGATTAACCTTACTAGGACATTGTGCACCTTGTTGAACCAATCATTGTAACTGAGGGGACGAGAGGGATGCACCAATTAGCTTAGTCTAGGTCATGTGCTCCACCCCTGGATCCTGGGGTGGTGGGGGTTTGGGAGAGAGATAACTTCATAAGAACCACAGGGCCTAAGAAAGGGGGAGAAGCGGATCCTCAGATGACAACCAGGTACTATTACCCCAAGTAGTGGGCTTGTCTTACAGTAATTGTGCTTCCTGTGGATCATACTCTCTCCTAGGGTGATGTCTTCTAAGAGTACCAGTAGAGAGCCTGGGGTATATATTGGACTCTCTCCTTCTTGGCAGGTGTTGAACTCTAATTTCTTGATACTGAAAACTCTGCTTTGCTTTTCAGCATTTTCTTAGTTTTATAGCCTTAATTCCATATAACTTAAGAATCAGCAAATACCTCAAACAGAAAACAGGTATCCTAAGCCGAGTGCATCTCCCTTATCTTTAAGATCTTTGCTCCTCAAGTCCTGACTGCTCTTACTCCAATTGTCTTTCTACCCCCACGAGATTGCTGAAAACTGCTGGTTTCTTTGCTTTTTGGCATCTATTCCCTACCTGGATTTTTAGCTTCTCTTCCCAAATCAAGCATTGATAAATGCCAAATTGGAAAGTAGAATGCAAAATGGATTGAATTCAGTGAGCTTCTTTTTCTTCTAAGACCTTAATAATTCAAGACTTGACCACTGCATCAGCTTTCTGATGCTTTCAGACAGATAAACTAAATAATTTTATCTAGATGTACTAGTTATTCTTGATGAGTGTTGTTATGCTACAAAGGACTATCATAGGTGAAACGGAAATCTCTTTTTATGTTTTTAATATCTGTATGATCTGTACTGATGTCCACTCCTCTATTCGTGATATTTGATATTTCTGCTTTCTCTATTTTTTATCAATCTCTCTCAAAGTTTATCCATTTTATAAGTATTTTCAAAGAACCAACTTTTGGTTTTGTTGGTCATTTTTATTAAATGTATTTGGTTCTTAAAGAAGGAGATGTCAAGATGAGATTAGACATACCAGAGATTTTCTAGAGGAAACAGCTATTGAGGGGGAAAGGGAAAGGAGCCAGGGAAAGCTAAGAGACCCATCTGGCTGCAATTCTGGTCTGATTCTTTGTGAAGGAGATAGGGAAGGAAAGCAGGATAGGGAAGAGTACTAGACTGCTATGACATTCAAAGAAAATCTGGTAGGCCAATAGAATCACCCCATCAGTGGTGATCTGCATCTCCCAGCAATGACCTGCCTTACTATTCTTGCTCCCCCCACCCAAGTCATTAGCTGGGAGCAATTCATGGGAGGCATAAACTGAGTTTGAATGTGAAAATAAACTTCAGAGTACAGCAGCTAACGTCATCAGTTAGTCATGCTTCCTGCAGTTGACAATCTGTCAGTGGCTATGCTCAAGGTTACCATCTACTACAATTTTGGGTGAAAGGAAAGGGGTTATACCAATGGAAACAAGATCCAAAAAGAATGCCTGGTTCAAAAGCTGGAAGGCTTTCTGCAAGGGAAAGATAAAGAAAAAAAACTGAAAAAAGTTTATTTCAGGCCCAAACTTTTATCTCTTAAGGATAACTTGCTTTCAACTTTGTTTCTTCAGCTTACTCTAGACTAGTCACTTTTCTCTCATTTCCTTCATCTCAGCAAAAATATCTTGTGAGTGTCTGCAGATACAATGCTCTTTCATGCACCAGACACCAGGAAAAGCAAATAACATTCTATCTCTTCCAGGAATATCCCCTGTCATTATTTAGAAGTGCATTATTATTATTTCTCGTACAGCCATATTCACTTAAATTCACTCGCATATTTGCCCTTTTTTGGTCTTCATTCCTTCCTGCCTTTCCGGGCTTCCATGTGAGTAATTTTCCTCCTGCTTGAAGGATACTCTTTAATATTCCCTTTATTGAGTGTCTGCTGATGACAAATTCTCTTAAGTTTTTGTTTCTAAAATTGACTTCATTTCATCTCCATTTTGCTGGGCATAGATAGATAGATAGATAGATAGATAGATAGATAGACAGACAGACAGACAGGAGTTTTTGTTTGTTTGTTTGTTTGTTTGTTAAACTCTCTAAATGTATCTGGTCTAACCTCCAATTATCAAAAGAACTACACTTTTGGTTCTTAGCAAAGAAGAAAATCTTAGACATCATGAATTTTGTTATATTTGAGTGAACATAAACTTGTTTTCTAAAGTTAGGAGTTGGAGTATATAATTTGGAAACCCCATTCAGGAAAAATCACACTCCTTCGCCACTCCTCCCAGTTTACGCAGATAAGAACAAATAAAATGAATATCAACATATGGACATTTAAAAGAAGCAAGAAGTCAGAAAATGCAGTCAGGGAAGTGGGTTGAGTTGGTGAAGGGCAATTCCCAAAGCAAAACCCTGATGTTATCTGCAATTCTCCAAGCTTTGAGGATGGGTTTTTTTTTTTTTTTCAATCTCTCCTACCTTCTTAAACACATTTACTTATTAATTCATTTTCTCTTTCAACAAATATTTCTTAAGCTCTGCTTAGTGATAGATACTGTAAATCTTTCTAAATCAAACATGGATTCTGTCTGCAAGGAGCTTCCAGTAGAGAAGATGACAGCTACATAAATACCAGTAACAGATTAAAACATGATGAGATGCATAGACAAAAATCCTTCTCTGTTCTGAGAAGTAAAATACTACTTTGAGGGAATAAGTAGGTTAGGGAGGAAAGAATCAGGAAGAAATGACTCCAGGAAGTAGCATTTGAGCTATACTTTTAAGAAGAAAAGGAATTTGGTCATGCTGAGATAAGTGACAGGTGACAAGTTTTTCTGGGAAGTATTGTCCAGGAAGGAATTGGCAAATACTTCAGTTCAGCTGAATTACACGTGCGAAAAATAGCATCGAGAAATAAGAATAATGCCAAATTGCAGATGGCCTTGAATGAAAGGCTGAGGAGCTCTATTTGAGACAGTGCTCAGCCATAGCATGTATGAGCATTTCTTCTAGAGAAGAGAAGGAAAAGGGTCTCTACCTACCTATCTAACATCCGTAGCGAACCAACTCTGTGCCAGACCCTTTGCTCAGCGCTACGTACTCTCATTAAATCTTACCAGCCTACGAGATAGGAATCAAGATCCCTACCTAGAAAAGGTGCCCCCATCCCTTAAATTTCGTAACTGGAGGCATGCTGGCGTGCCTATTCCCTTCTCAGGACTGTGTAATAGGCATGACTTGGAGTGTCAGACTAACAATTGAGGCAGATCCCTATGTACCTCAGAGGGCCTGAGTAACTGGTAGGTCCCTCAGCTAGTAAGTACCTGGCGCACGACTGGGACCGAGGCAGCCACCAGCAGCGGTCCCTCCCGCTCCGCACCAGTTCAGCAACTTGTCGGAGGCCGGGCAGCTCCGGGCGGCCGACGCAGCCCCGCCCAGTCGCACGGGATTGGCTGCCGAGCCCCACCAGCTGGAGAGGGCGGAGTCCTGCCACATGGAGGGGGCGGGGTCGTGCCAGCTGACGGGGCGAGGCCATGGGTCCGGTCCTGGGACTTGCCTTCATAGCCAGCAGCGAGCGCGGCCGCCCAGTGCTCGGAGGCTGCAGGCCGCGTCCAGGCTGAGCCTCCCGCTTGCCTCCCGCGCCGCCGCGCCGCCCGCGCGAGCGCTCCTTTCCAGAATGCTGCGTTGGGGCAGCCAGGCGCTCCGGCGCTTCTCCACCGGCCGGGTGAGTCCCGCCCAGGCCAGCGTCCCGGCTCTCCCCCGGGGCTGGAGGGCCGGGCTGCGGGGCTGGGGGTGGGCAGCGATGTTTACACAGCTAAAAAGCTAAGACAATGTTTTTAAAACTGGGAGACTGCAGAGATGAGTCCGGGGAGGGTCCTCGATGGGGCTTGTCAGTCGAGCCATTGTTTTCTACGGGGAAAAGGGCCAACGATGCGGCTTTTGAACATCTAAGGTCTGGCTGGCATTGACAGGGTGGGAACAGTCATTTGGCAAGGGGGACAGAAGTCGGCTTTCTTTCCTTTTTCGTTTCATTTGTGAGATCCCTGGTTACGACCTGGAGCCAAGGTACAGGACCGAGACCATCTCCTAAAGGAGAGTGGTATCAAGTCAGCCGGGTCCTCCTCGGCAGCCTGAAAGGTGTAAGCCCTTGGGACTGGCATGCAGGGCCCATTCAGATAGTGGCACTCAAGAGCCGGTGTTTGAAAGCTCATTCCTGAGCGGTAGGCGGCAAGATTTCTAGGATGACTAGTCGCTGCAGAAGCGGGCAAGCTGAACATTTGAAAACTGTAGCGCAAGAACCGAGCCTTGGCCCAGCCCCGAGTCTTGAAATTGCATCAGCTTCTCCAGAAATGGAACAAGAACGGACACGTTGCGTGTGACGCTGCCTTCAGCGCTGCGGGGGCCTCGGGAGAGATGCCTCCCTCTATCTAAGCGGACTTCAAGCTGTTCAAGGAAGAGAAAAAAAAAAAATCTGTTTCATGTACATTATCTCTTTATAGGAAGTACATGTTTGCTATTAGAATTTGCTTTTGATTCATTTTATCTGCCAAAGCCATAAGTGCACGCGTACATATTCAGATGTAAAAAACTTAGAGGCAGGGAGATGTCTTGAGTAGCACCCAAAACTGGCCCAAAGTCTCATAAATGGAAAAGCTTCTCTCCCCTAGTCAACCTCCAAATAATGAGAATTCACTTTACCCCATGCGATCGGTTCTGGTTATTCTGAAAGTATTCACCTTTTTAAACATAAGGAAAAAGAGACCTGCTCTGGGAAAGCTTTTTCTTGCTCTCCTAAGCAGAGCACTGCACTCCTTAGCTTTCTCCGGACACGTGTCACATGGAAATCGGGGTTGGATGGCACAGAGAGGAAGGGGTGTGTGCCAGCCTGTTTTATTGACCTCCTCTGTCAACACCTTTCATTGAATTATCGTTTTTGGAGAGCAGAAGAGAGTCTTGAAGAATGAAAATATTGTAGTAGTGAGGTTTACATAAGATTTCAGTAGTAAGCGATGAACATCCAGGTGGCAAATGGCATAAATAAAAACATATGTGGGGAATCACCAGGCATGGGGAGGGGTCAGGGGCCAGAGTCTGACTATACCCAGGAATGCATGTGGAAGAGCTGGGGAGAAGGCAGGTTCTTCAATGACTGAAAGGAAGACATGGAATGATAAGTGAAGAATTTGGAGTATTTTGCTCCATAGCAAATGGATGTCCATCCTTTGGACTGTGTTCTATAAGAATTGTACAAAATCAAACATGTAATGGGTTGTGGGAGCATAAAAATGGTACAAACATTTTGATTAAACTGGTGGTTTTTTATAAAATTAAACATACACCTATTATATTACCCAGAAATTGCACTCCTAGGTATTTACCTAAGAGGAATGAAAACTTCACTGTTCACACCGATACCTGTTTGTGAATGTTTACAGAGTCTTTGTACATAGTCACCAAAAACTGGAAACAACTTAAATGTCCTACAGCTGGTGACATGACAAACTGTGGTACATTATCCACATTATGGAATCCGACTCAGGAAAAAGAAAAAGAGAAATTATATACCAATACACACGACATGGATGAAACTCAAATGTGTGTGCTAACTGTAAGAAGACAGACTCAAAGGGCTATCTATATACTGTATGATTCCATTTATCTGACATTTTGGAAAGAGTATAGTGATAGAAAAAAGATCAGTGTCAGGGGCTGGAGATGAGGGAAGGATTGACTGCAAAGGGACATGAGGGAATTGAATTGTGGGTGGATGGAAATGTTCTTTATCTTGATTGTGATGGTGGTTACATGGCATAGTTAAAACTGAAACTGCATATTTTACTGTAGGTAAATTATACCTGCATCTTGGAAAATGTCACACAGCACTTTTGAGTTTGATATTAAAGCAGAATGAAAAAGAAATCTCAGAAACTTGGTAAAATACAAGGGGAAAATAAGTTTATAACACTTCCTGACAGAATTAATGTTTCCATTCTCTATCTTAAAGAAATGAACTTAGAAACATTTAATGATTTCAGCTTAGTGATATGGCTGGATCTTTTTAACTGATGCAACTATATATAGCAATAAAACCCTTTGTCAGTTTTGTTGTCCACCTCTGATATCTTGCCTGGCTCATTGCTTCTTAATTTCTCCTCATGGTAGGGTTTATTTAGCCCTCATATTTATTTGGCACCCTGTTATTTAGCTTCCTCTGCCAGCATCTGGGACAAGTCTGGCTGGTGGTTCTGGGTTCATAGCCTCGTTTCAGGATTTGAGGTTACCTTATGAATCAGTTTGAGAGGTTGGACCTTTCCCTGCTTCCTGGAACCAAGTACTGGCTTTATACTCTATTTCTAGCAACCACATCCTTAACTTGTTTGACCCCTGCTTTGTTGTCTAGTTTGTTTTTAGAACCTCCAAATTCAACTTCGAACCATATTAAATTATGTATTATGTACTATGCACTTTGTCTAAATCCTGAGGAAATAATAATAGTAATAGTATTGGTATAGCACTTCGTAAGTACCAGGCATCTGTTATAAATTCTTTACATATATACTCATTTAATCTTCATAATATCTCAGTGAGGTAGGTACTATTACTATTCCCATTTTACAGATAGGGAAACTGAGACCCAGAGGTGTTAAATAACTTTTCTAGAGTCTCACAGCCAAAAAGGATAAAATAAGAAATAAATAGTCCCTGCTTTCAAGGAGTCCATAGGTTAGTAAAGATTGGTAAAGATAATACACCAAATTAAAATACGAATGGATAGAAAAATGTGAAGACACTCAACTAAACTAGTAATCAGGAAAATGCAAATTAGAACAAGATTTAGTTTTTCACTCTTCAGGTCAGTAAAAATCATAGAGTTTGACAATGTTGTGTGTTGGCAGGGATGAGAAAAAAGTTCTTCAAATACTCCAGAAGCCAATCTGATGCTATCCAATAATATTTAAGTTCAAAAATGATCCTGCAATTTCTTGTGTAAATATCTGAGAAAACACTTCCACGTGGGCTCAGGAAGCACGTACAAAGATATTCATGGCCATGGCATTTGTAATAATGACATATTAAAAGCTGGAATGTGCCTCAATAGGGAAATGAATGAATAAACTGAGACATAGCTTCTCTATGGAACACTGTGCACCACTTTTAAAGAATGAATTATATGTACCGACAGGAAAGTTATGGAACATTATACATAATATGATTTCATTTGTATTACTTTTAAAAATACAAAATAATATTTTAGGTGTATATGTCCATGTTTTTAATAAGAAGTGTTATGTGTTAATTTAAATTAATTTTAAAATTCTATGCAATTAGAATAAACAGGTAATAGCTATGAGTCTTAGAAGACTCATCTTGGAAGTTGGCTGAGAGTGGGGCAGGGTTATGGGAGGGCTTCGGGAAGTTCTCTTTGGATGTCCTCTCCATTCGGACCCACACTGTGCTCTCCTATCTCAGCTCTGTGATGCCATTATGTCTTTATTTGTGTGTCTTCCCTACTAACTGATGTACTTTTGAGAACAGCAACCATATCTTCTTTGTACCGTGAGTGTAAGGGTCCCAAAGAAAAATGCCCACAGAGGCCAAACAAGTTGGGATTTGAAGTGAGGGATTTGAGCTGGATGGAGTGAAAGACCATATTCAGAGTAAAGGGGGCACCCACTGCTCAACTCTAGGTATTGCTATATGGGAATGTGGATCAGGTTTGACAAACTTCCTGACTTTTAAAGAGGAGTAAGAAATTCAACCTGCTAATATGAATTCTCCTAATTATTTTACAAATGTCCTGTGAGCCAAAACCGAAAACAAAAAGGCACGTGACTGATTTGCAACCTCTACTATGCACTGTGCCCAGAACATGGTAAATACTCAAAACATGCTTGTTGAATAAATGTCACACGGTGTCAGGCAAGGTTTGGGCCCGCATGTACTGGATGCTCCATTAAGTGTTAGGCGTCTGGCTGTCTCAGAAAATTTTACTTCATTTTATTCTCTTGTGGAAAGATCCTTCATGTAAAATTGTCAATTTTCACACTTCCTGGTATGGATAGCTTTGGCCTTATTTTACACCCTGCTCAAAAGGTTCTATTACGGTAGCATCTACTGCACAAAAGGGCTTCAGATCGGGGCAGACTCTTAGCACGGTGCCCTTACACTTTTCTACAGAAGACTACGATTTTTTTTGTTGTTCTTTTGCTTTATGTTTTAATCCTCAGAGCATAATCGGAGTCTATATTAATTTGCTTCTTGAAGAACTCCACCAGGGTGTGGACCGTGTGGGAATGCAATATTTGCTAGTTTAAAATCAAAAGCTCTGTTCCCTGTAAAAGGCTCTTTGAACGCAGAACATTATCTTTAGAGAACCCCAAGGTACTAGCGCTTATCACCCATATTGTCCCCATGTCAGGACTACCAAAGTACCCTTAGTAAGTCTGATGGAACCGCTTCTTACAACTGACCTGTCAAACCATTGCCATGTTTTCCTTTTTTTTTAAGAAAAGGGTAGTGGTGCGGGGGGTGGGGAGGGAGGCAGGCGGTGGCTTTAACATAGGAACGCCACAAAAGCACATCTGCTGAAGTGAGATTGATCTGAATTTGAATCCTGCCTCTGCCTCTTATTATCCCTGTCCTTGGATAGGTTACTTAACTTCCCAGAGCAACTATGTTTTTTCATTTGTAAAATGGGTCACTGTGAGTATTAAAGTAAAGACACATGAAAAGTTTTTGATAAAAGTTTTGAATGAATGAAAAGAGCTCCAAATAGTGCCAGGCTCATGTAGGAGAGATCCATTATCATCATTTTCATTGACCTAGGTATTACTTGTGGTGTAATAATAATGATAGTTAGCATTTATCGGGCATTTACTATTGCCATTCACTGCACTAATGCATTACATGTTTTATCCCACTAAACCCTTATAACAACCTTATGAGATAGATACTATTATTATTCAGGTTTTAATAGATGAGACCCAGCTTACGATCAAACGGCTGGTATTATAGAAAAACAATGTGCACTAGGATAATAACTAGAGTTAGAATCTTCGGGCTGCCACTCAGTAGCACTTTTACTCCAGACTGCATCTTAACTTCTCTGTGTTGTAATTTCTTCATCCGTAAGATGGCTTAACAATTCCTGTCTGCAGGAGTCACTGGGCAATCAAAATGAGGTGATATATATGAAATACTTGGCACATACGAGGGTCTCATTACACTGTTTGCTATTCTTTCCACTTCTTCTTCCTGATCCAAACTTCCCAAGGCAGTCAAGCTCTATAAGCTCTGTAAAATCTATTTTGTAGTCATTGAACACACACTATCCATATAGCACAGATCTTCAGACTTTGTGTGCCTGTGAGTCACTGTTAAAATGCAGCTTCTTGGGCCTGAAATTCTGTCATGGTAGATCTGGAGTGAGGCCCAGGAATGCACATTTTTTACATGTCCTCCCAGCTGATTCTGCCAACATGGGCAGTCAGTTCCCAGATCATACTTGGAGAAATAAGACTAAGTTAACATAGCCCAGTCCAGTTTTGTGGAATTATGCTAACTCATTAGAACCACATTTAAAATCATAAAATCTGAATATTTCTCAGTGTTAGAAACTCACCTCTGTAGCTTCAGCTTTAGCATGGAGCTCAGAAAATATTTCAACAAATGTAGTATTTCCAAAAGTTCAGACATGGACAGTTTCTTTAAATGCCATCTTTCTGAGGGAATTGTTGAATCTGGAATTGAACCTCAAATAACCAAATGACAGCTGAGTGGCACATTGCATTTGAGTCAGCTCAGCCTCTTTGTTCTTGTGTGTTTTAAGGGTAGTATTTTAGATGTCTTAAAATATCTGGTGTTGGTAATGATATGAAGTAAAGCCAAATTTTGTAAGATAGCTAACAGGTCAATTCTATTTCAAGCCACAGTATTAACTATAGGATTTGAAGATAGAATGTTTATAGACCATTTCGATTTTTTGATGAGAGGAAATGAAATAATCATACGTTTTCTGTAGGTGAATTATGCTATTGTTGAAGAATTAATTTGTTTACTTGCATGTTGTCTGTTAGACCTTGAAACTCTAGGCTCTTTTGGAATAGAAACTTCTGCTGGCCCTAGAAAAGGACTTTTAAACAGAAACCTTAATTGTTTAATTATCAGCTCAAATAAAGAAAAGGTGTGAACCCATATGCTTTTAAGTTCATGTCTAAAAATGATACCATCGTGCCCTTAATAGAGTGGGAAACAAGGGAACATCAATTTTCCTCATAATTAGATTTTCACAGTGAGGCTTTACTAATTTAGAATCCCATTTAGATTGAGGAGGAAAAAATTCTAAGTCAGAACCCTGTGGAGCCATATCCTAACATGGAAGAACGAAAGATGGAAGGAGTTCTGGGGGCTGGAGTTGGTCCGTTACCAAAACAGGAAACGCATAGCAAGTGGTGACCCTTTGATTACTGTCTCAACACCCACAGTTCTGTTTCTAGCCTGCTTCACCTGATGGTTTTTCGTCATCATCTTAACAATCATCATGTCAACATGTGACTGTAAGCTCTGTAAAAAGACTCCATTTAGGGAAAATTTGCAAAAGGCGTAATTGCTCAAAGACTGTTCTTTAAAAACTTGAACCCTATTAGTGCCACTCTTACCTATGGTGTTTATATTTCTTGATAACCACTGTATTTTTGTGCATCACTGTTAATCTTCTAAAAAGAAGATGCAAGAGATGGGTGGGTAATGGCAGCTCATTTTAATTATTTTATTTTTAAGTACATACGTGGACTTTGGAGTCAGACGGATCTGGATTCAAATCCTAGCTCTTCTCCTTTCTGCCAGTATGATATTGGGGATGAACTTAATATTTCTAAGCCTTGGTTTCTTCATTCATAAAATGGAACAAAATGGAAGATAATAACAGGATAGTTGTGTGGATCAAATTAAATGAAATGTGCCAGGCTCAATTCCTTATCTGAAACATATGGAGCCAAATGTGTTTTGGGGTTCGGAATCATTCACATTTAGAAAGTTAATATGGTATGTAGATAATCCATTACATACAATTCACAGCAGGGTCTCCAATAGTATCTATAACCAAACACATTGATTTTTCAGCAGCAAAGTGTATGAATATTCACATAGTCTTTATAAATGTTATAAAGAGTACAAATAGCATTATGTCAGTTCAGGTCAGGTTTAAAGCTAAATGAGTTTGCACAAACTTACAAGAAATCTATAAAGACTATAAAAACGTTCCATTAAATCAATCCAGGTTTTGAGGCCAAATGAGTTTGGGCCACTTACCAAGGATTTAGGAATTCTAGACTATATGAAAAAACATATGACAGTGTCTAATATACTAGTGTCTAGTATACAGCAAAATCTTCAAAACATTATTAAAGCTTTTACTTAAACAGTACTTGGTGTCAGACACTGCATTAAGCCTATTACATATTAAGTCATCTTCTTCAGTCGAGGTTGGTGACATTATTATTCCCATTTTACAGATGTGGAAAAAAAGATAAACAGAAGTTAGTTACTTGCTTAAGGCTACACAATCAATAAGGGATAGATGGCGCTAGGTTTTGATCTCAGATAGTCTAGCTCTAGGATCTGTTTTTAACCTCTATCCTATACTAGATGTTAGCTCTGGGCCTCGTTTGGAGATGTGAGTGCTTCTTATTTCTACATTGCAGGGGCATAAAAGTATTGTCATTTTGAAGTAGATCTTGCTCAGATTTAAACTGCTTTAATTATGAAACTTACACTTATTTTTTAACATCTTGCCTCATTGCACCAAGGAGATAAAGTGGCTTGTTAAAATATAAGCAATCCCAAAGATTATAGCAAATAATCCAGAGTATTAGAGCAAAGGGAAAATGAGGAATATTTCAGAGTGAGATACTTTCACTACTATCTACATATAATGTAGTCTGGGTTCAGTATATGTCAGTAAAAAAATTATCTTGTAGTTATTTGATCCTTTTGTCATCCTCAAGTCATCTTGTATGATCGCAAAAAAAAAGAATGTTTATTATCCATATGTCTTCTATCCCTGCCAACATCCGTCATCATTGAATTGTTTCCCAGGTTTATTTCAAAAACAAGCTGAAGTTGGCCCTTATTGGTCAGAGCGTCTTTGGGCAGGAAGTCTACAGCCACCTCTGCAAAGAGGGCCATCGAGTTGTGGGCGTGTTCACTGTTCCAGACAAGGATGGAAAAGCTGACCCACTGGGTGAGTGTATCTTGGAATGATGGCATCAAGGACTCTGCCTTGGCCTTTCAGCTATCCTGTCTCGGGCCCAGCTCACACCTCTCATCCCTCGTTAGCATTTCTGTACTTCTACTTCTCTGCCACAGCTCCACAAACCCAGACTGCACACCTCCCCTCTTGGCTCTGCCATGTCCGCTCTATTTATTGAAAACCTTCTCAGGCCAAGGCAAATGGCATAGTGGATACAGATTTAAAAATTCTCCCTTCTTTGTGGGCCCCAAGACAAAGATGCAGACCCCTGTCATATTAAGAGTTCCTCCCCTTTTCTCCATGGTAATCATCAGGTCTGTCAGAGGAATTTATAGGCATATATTTTTCCCGAATTACACTTGTGACTTTCCAAAGGTGCTGTGGGGTATCTAGAATAATGGCTGATACAGACGTGCCAAAAGGAAAAAGGGAAGGCCACACCCAATGATAGAAATTGATGTGAGGTCATAAAATGCATTTATCTCAGAACAAATTATAGCTATGCTGCTTGGTGATTAAGGCAGGTAAAGAAAATAGTCATCCTCAGAGCAAACCTACAGTGTGATTCTGATTTGCATGCCATAGTTATATCAAGAAAGGGTACAAGATATAGAAATAGAAACAGTCTACAAATAATACAGGTCAGGAATAGAACTAGTGTCTAGAAATCTTGGCTTATGACATGGATCTTCATCTATCACCGGTACAATGTAGCACGTTACCATTATATTGGAAAACAGTGTAATAATAACCCTAAAATTTTACTTTTTTTCTTGAAAGAAGCAGCTCTTGGATTTATCCTAATTCTTGTTACTGCTTTTTAAAGTATTATATTTTAATATTATTTTTCAAGAGTCAAGTTAAAAAAAAGTTGGGCAAAGGGCACATATGCGCCTGAATTTAATCACTTGATTTAGAATTATCCTTATTTCAGAGAAAGGTGATCGCAATCTGGGGAATTCTGAGGGAACCTGCCTCATGAATTCTTATACTTGGCTCCAAAGGCAGAAGGGGACAAGACTCCTGTTGCTAGAACAATGACATGTCTCATCGTTATCTAATTCCATCAGTTTTGCATGTGCGATGTTTGAGAAGACTCATATTTGGATATTGGATCGGTTGTTGAATCACGAGGACCTTAAATAATATTAGCTTAAATTAAGATAGAAATCCATTTCTCAAATCTGGGTTGGCCACTAGAGCAGTATAGGATATGGTAAACAGCATACTTTCTAGAATCATGAAATAATTGTGACTCTGCCACTTACTAGCTGTGTGACCTTGGGCAAGTTACCTAAATTCACTAGGCTTCAATGGTACTCATCACGCACAGATTAAATGAAATAATATATGTTAGGTGCTTAGCTCTGTGCTTCGTTGATCAATAACAACAGCAGTTAACTATTCTTGTTGTCAGACAAAAATAGCCCTGGAGTGGCCGAAAATCAATCTGGGAAAACTGACACCTGAATCCCTTAAACCTATCCCAGTGCAGTAGATTTTTTTCCCTTATTTATGTATTTATTTAATTAACATTTTATTTCTTCCCCCACCTCCTCCCTTCCCCCTCCCCTTTGGTAAACACTAGTCTATAGTCCATGTCCATGAGTCTCTGTTTGTTTGTCCTGTTCATTTGTTGCTTTTAGGTTTATATCCCACATATAAGTGATATCATGTGATTTTCCACTTTTTCAGTCTGGCTTATTTTGCTTAGCATGATTATCTTGAGGTCCATCCATGTTGTCGCAAATGGCTGTATTTCATTTCTTCTTACGGCTGAGTAATATTCCATTGTATATATGTACCACAGCTTCTTTAGCCAATCATCTATCGTAGGGCACTTCGGTTGCTTCCATGTCCTGGCCACTGTGAATAATGCCGCTATGAACATCAATGTGCAAATATCTTTTTGGATATGGGTTTTCAAGTCTTTGGGGTAAATATCCAGTAGTGAGATTGCTGGATCATATGGTAGATCAATTCTTAGTTTTTTGAGGAACCTCCATACTGTTTTCCATAGTGGAAAAGTATGAGGGTTCCTATATTTTCCTTAGGGAAGAGCCTCAGATCCGCTCCAGGATAGCAGAACCCTTACAGGAAACATGCATTCTCAATCCTTGGCCTCTCTCCTCCACTAGCTTTTCTGATCAGTGAATTTGGGAAAAGGAACTAGACAGGCTCAGATCAGCTGTTTTCTCCCTTTATCTTTTGGGATCTGCCTGTTTGGTGGGGAGAATGTGTTCTGATCAACAGTTTTCCCTGAGGAAAAATGGGACTCCCCCCAAACCCCCACCAAGCAGGAAACAGGCGTGGGAAGGGACTTGAGGTTTTCTATTTGTGTTAGAGGCTGACCATGTCTCATTTGGGTGGTGATGTATTGACACTTGGCTCCAAATTTAAAAACAAACAAACAAATGTTCTTTAAGTAGTTGTATCAGTAATAAAGGTACAAATTTTGATCTATAAAAGAAAATGCTTCAGTTAAAATCTCAAAATGTTATCTAGCCACAAACTTTTAAGTTCAAAAATATTATGCCTTAAATATATAGGTAAAAATCACATTAGAAAAATGAATGGATCATGCTAAAATTGTAGCAGGTAAAATCCTGGTCAGAATCTAAGTTGTTCTTCACCGTGTTTTATTTGTAAATGTTTCATGAAACTGTAAAATTACAATGTGTAAATTCATAGCAATATAAAATTATGGCTAAAATTCTTTTTGATGAAAATAATCTTCTCTTTCATGCTCAGCTTTGGCTGCAGAGAGAGATGGGACCCCTGTGTTCAAGTTCCCTAGATGGAGAGTCAAGGGCAAGACCATAAAGGAGGTGGCAGAGGCTTACAGATCCGTGAGTGCCGAGCTAAATGTGCTTCCTTTCTGCACGCAGTTCATCCCCATGGATGTAATTGACAGCCCAAAGCATGGGTCCATCATTTATCACCCGTCCATTCTTCCCAGGCACAGAGGAGCCTCTGCTATCAACTGGTGAGATTTTTTTTTTTTTTTTTAAATAACGGAGAAGATGGGCCTATTTCTACTGCCCATAATCTTTCTGTTTTTTATTTAGGTGATCAAGGAACTAGGTGTGCTTGAACAATTGTAAGGTCCTGCATGATTGCTACTATTGCTTGAACTCCCCTGAGAGCTAGAGAAGCCAGGACAGCCTTTCCCAAGAATAGTCTATGGAGTACTGGCTCCATTGGCTATAACTAGGTATCAAGCAAACAAAGGTTCTATGGTCAGACAAGCCTGGTTTGTGCTGGATTTATTTATCGCAGGACTTCTTAGAGCTTTTAACATGTGCTTTGAGGTGAGGATCACAATCTTCAACAGGGATTCTGAGTACACAGTGTAGCTAAACTTATTTACGATAGAACATTTTTGCATAGAACGTTGCAAGTACGTTTCAGGAAATGCCGGATTACCTGAGATTATCTTCTTCATTTTCTGTCTTCCTCCACTGAACTTTAAGCTTCTTGAGGGAAGACAAGACGACTGTGGTCTAACACTTTAATTGCTATATTTCCCAATATTAAGAACAATGCCTGATACGCTGGAGGTACCCAGTACATAGGTACATTACGCTTTGGGCTGAGGTGGGCCTCTCCCATCCTCTCTACTCTCTTTTACCTGAACATCTCTGAGATATCCCTCAGCGTCAGGTTATTGAACAGGCAGAACATCGATATTCAGTTTAAATGCGACAAAAAGACATTTCAGTGTATTTAAAGTTTGATTAATGAATGATTTCTCTTTTCTTTAAATATTACTGTAGTGGATATCTTTGTATTTGTATTTTTTCTCGTTTCATATTGCTTCTACATGCAGTATCATTGGGTCAAAGTATATGAATATTTTCAGGGCTCTTGATAACATAATGCCAGTTAATTCTTCAATATTTCTGAACAGAGTGTTTGACTGACTGATGATTGATTGATTGATTTAAGTCTGGCTTGATTAATGACTCAAGTAAAAATGGCTTAGATTGTGAACATGGCTGACTTACCGCATTATACTCTGTCTATATTAGCCTGCTCTCTGATGTCTTTCTATGTATTTATCCAAATATCCAGCTTACTATACTTATGACAAGCTCCTACAGGGCTAGCATTTTCTCTTAGGCTAAGCTTTATAGTACACAAAATACAAACAGTTCAATTAATCAACCATCTTTTACTACAATTTATGCAGGCAATCTAGAACTACTTCTAGCTTTAAGTGGCTTATTCCTGAATTACACAACTTAAATTAGTAATCAGTTTTCCTCTTCACGTTGCACTGAGTATCCTCTATTTTATCTTTCGTTATCTTATTCTGTCTAATACAGGGTCAAGTACGATGTTAAGAGTTAGACCCAGGTGGGCAAAATTACCTGATGCTGCAGTAGAAAGCTGACACCAAGGAGTCAGTCAGTAGTAGCAATGATGGACTCTCATGCCTATTTGAGTAGACTGTAAGTTATCAGCATGTGTTAACAAGACTTTAGATATGAGGATGCATAAAATAGCAGTACCATTAAGTACTGCTTTTTATGAGTGCTGACATCTCCCAGCTCTACTGTTTGTTAATTTCTCACAATAGCTTCATTCACCATCTACTTTCCATTGTAACTACCTTGTACTTTAACATCGCTTATTCATTACTTTATGATACAGTTCACCAACGTTTTAAGTTGAAACTCTTCTTTTCACAGGACCCTCATTATGGGAGATAAGAAAGCTGGGTTTTCTGTATTCTGGGCTGATGATGGTTTAGACACGGGACCCATCCTTCTTCAGAGATCATGTGATGTGGAACCCAATGACACAGTGGATACGCTTTATAATCGATTTCTTTTTCCTGAAGGAATCAAGGCTATGGTCAGTATATTTATGCCATCAAGAAGAATTTAGTAAACCTTTACAGTTTTGAAAAACAAAATTCGATTTAAATTTACCTAAACTTTAAAATGTCTTAGTCTATGAAGCAGACTTGCTCTTCTGAGAGCAATGATCAAATAGATGAACTAGCAATCTGCTTTGATTATTTTACCAAATACTTGAATCTCCAACCCTGTTTATAATGACTAATTGTAAAGAAGTGTACAGAATCTTAAGAATTTTTGCTGTGTAATTTGAACTTCTTTCAAAAGTATTTGAAGGAATTTAATGATTTAATGACACCAGGGTTCTCATTCCACCACTTATTTGTCATATGACAATAGATGAGTCACTTAGCCTCTTTATCCTTGTATTCCTTATCTATAAAATGTGGATAATACTTCCTGACTTATAAAGTTGTTGTGAAAATTAAATGGCATTTGTGTAAAGCATCTGGCACACAGTAAGAGCTGTAATTATAAAAATGATAATTACAAAAAAAATTATAATTACAATAGAAATAGTATTATATGTATTCAGTGGCATTTGCTCAAGCCCAGATCCTGTACCTAAGCCTGGGTGATATTATAGCTAGAAGTGGGTAGAATGAATGAGCTGTGAACTTGGCTCCCTCTATGTGCTCTTGGGAAGTTTGGTCAGCAGCTGTGAGGGCTTAGAGAGAAATCTGAGATTTCTCAGTGAAAGAGTGAGGCTCTGAACTCAAGGCAAATATAAATATTGCATAGAAGAGAATGCAGGACACATTCTAAAGGCAATCAGACTCAGGGGTAGATGTTAACTTCTTTTTAATTCCAGGTGTACTCAGCTAGAAAGCAAGCAGAATTACTTAAATATAATAATATATCACTTACTAGAATCGTCGTGATGAACAGAAATAACCCATAATGACCTATTTTACAATTATATTCCAAAAACTTCCATTGACTCATCAAAGGGAGATTGAAATTTGTTTAAACAAAGGAGGCATTTTATGAATACAGGCTTGATATTGACAGTAGATAGACTTGGATGCAGATCTTGCTTCTGACACCTACATGCTATCTCTGTGATCTTGAACTAGTTGCTTAACTCTGCTAAGCCTCAGTTTTCTCATCTGTGAGTCAGGAGCAATAATATCCATCTTGCAGAACTGGTATCATGTTGCAAGTGCTATTTACATAAAGTAGCTACCACACTCCCTGGCACATATCTGTGAATCTGAAGAAATGGTAGTCATTCCCATAGTCTGACTCTCTGGACAGATTTATATGTAGAAATCCTGTTAAGCAGACATTTCGGTCAAACAGCCATGCCATTGTTGCCCACTGGGCTATCACACAGCTAACGTTTCTGGCTTTAGGTGGAAGCTGTCCAACTCATCGCCGATGGAAAAGCTCTTCGGATT